AAAAAAAAAAATCTTTAAAACATCTAAGTTTTATTGGTTAATTTATATTAATATTTTGTAATAATGATTTTGTTTGAAACTAAAATTTATGAATAATCACATAAATTTTAAGTAATTTTTATAAACTTAAGGCATGTGATTTTAGTTTTTATAATAAAAGTCTTAGTCTCCTTTTTATATATTATAACTCTAGCAAAATCCATCTTCTTTAATGTTTTTAAGTTAAAAATGCAATTTGATATTTTTATTTTCTTCTTTTATAATTTTGCAATTGGCCCCCTCAAGATAAATTCCTAGTTACGCCACTGGATATGCCCATATTTCCTTTCAAGAAACAACGATCATCAAGGCTTTTCATAAGCTTGCTTCCAACGACTTCCTATTTTTTATTCCATCGATCGGCAAAACCAACGAGAACTGTTTACTGGTGTGCCGGTGGACATATATAAAAGCAGTGTTATTAAAATCTGCTGGTGCTTGACTCATTTTTAGCATGGATTTAGTTCAACCGATTCAACCATTTGGTTGGATTGGTCAATTAAAATTTTAACTTCTTTTAGTATTTTTTTGTATATTTTATTATATATTGACATTGTCTTATTTTTAAGGCATAATCACTTTAAAAATAACTTATAAATCACCTAAAAAACAACTTAAAAAGTTCAATTTAATTACATATATACATCGAAAAGATAAAATGCGTAGAGGGTAAAAAAATTTTAAATAAAAAATTACTACTAACCAAGTCAGGTCAACAAGTTGATTGGGTTTGAATGGATCAATTTTCAAAATGATTTAGAGTATATACCTAACCCCCGTTTTTATAATCAAATTTGCTTCAATCGGTTGAACCAACCACATCAAGCCGGGTTTTTAAACAAGCAAGTTTGATCAGTATGTCCATATTTTTATCTAAGAATATTCCGAAATAAAGGAGAAGCTTGATCTGAGTTCACTCTGATGCTCACCGGTAACAGTGTTAAATGGTATTTATCTCCTATAGAACTTTTTTTTTTAGGCCATTGATCTTACAATGATTTAATTTGAAGTTTTTTATACGTTGCATCCAATCATTTATTAATTATAAGATTTTTTTAACGCTTATCCTTATAAGCATAAATTAAAAGTGTTTTTTTAATAAATTTATATAAAAAATATAAAAATAAAAATTTATTTTAAAATTAATGTTACGTAAATAAATTTAATTCATAATTAATAAATTAAATATTATTTTTTTTAAACTGTTAACTTACGGATTAAAAAACACCCTTAATTATATGGTGGTGTTGGGAAAACTAAACTACGTACAGAGAAAGCAGAGGATCCAGACTTTATACCGACAATGAAGAATATTAAAAGAGCTTTGAGCTGGCCAGCATGTGGAATATTGCGGGTCTAGTAACTAGACCTGGCAAACAAGTAGAACGGGTGGATTTGGATTAGGTCATTATCTTAAGTTGTTTGGAGGTTTAAGTACCATTTTGGTCCCTTAACTTTTTATTTTAGTATTAAAATTATTCTTCAGCTTTAAAAAGTACTAAAATTATCTTTAAATTTTTATCTTTGGTATCAAAATGATCCTTCCGTCAGTTAAATGACAGGTGGCACGTTAAAATACCACCAAATCAATTCTATTTTTTTCTTAACTAATGACATGGAAAAAAAAACATAGTTGATATTTTTTTTATGAGTTGGCATTTTCATTTAATTTAAAAATAACAATTCTTTTTTTTTTCACCCACGTCAGATTTCTTCTTCCTCTTTACGTGATGAAACCCATATTTCGGTTTGAGAAAAACCCATCCAGTCAATCTCTTCTTGATTTTCATCTTTGACTTGATCGAAACACCAATGGTACCGCCACCGGCGACTTCTCCCAAACCCCAACAGATCCAGCAGTTCCTCAGCTTGGTTCTCTCGCAGCAAGGGCCTTCAACTCTCCCTTACGTCAAGGACACTAAATGGCTGATTCGCCAGAACCTCGTCACCCTCATGTCTCATTTCCCCTCTCTCGAGCAGAAGACCTCAACTTTCACCCACAACGACAGCTGTCAACGATAGCAAGCTAAACCTTTTGCTACTACTACCGTCAGCCTTCTTCTTCTCTCAAACCCAGATCTGGGTTTTTCTCAAACCCAGACTGTCCCGAGAAGATGATAGGCCCGAGAAGATGACTTGATGATAGGTCATCAGGTCCAAATGTAGGCAGCAACAAGCGGAAGTATAAGGACTTGACCCCTCCATCGTCCGATGGAAGGAGGCCCACCGACTTCTCATCTCTAGATTCGGCGCCTCGCTTTTACAATAGTGTTAATTGATTGATTGAACTGTTATTTGTATGCACTGTTGATATGCTTATCTAATGCTAGATTCTTGAAGTATTAGTGCTTGTATCTGTAGATGGTCTAGGTTTGTCGTGTTTTTGCCTTTTTGGATCTGAAGTCGATGTGAACATATCTTTCTTGATAGCTGGTAGAGAATAAGGTGTGTTTTTGTTCTAATTTGTATTGGATGTTTTTGATTGACTTTTGGATCCTCTTTGTGCTGATTTGAACGAATTTTAACTGAGTTGAGCCGGTTTATTTTGATTTAATTTAAACTGCAAACCCAGATCTGGGTCCTTCTGTTACTACTACCGTCGGCCTTCTTCTTCTTCTATCAAACCCAATTTCTTCACCTCGAACACGGGGGAGTAGCAGTGCCACGAGCGCGTCCAAGATGGACAAGGTGAGCGAGGTTGCTGAAATGCCAGATCTAGGTTTGAGAAAAACCCAGATCTG